ACGAACTCATTGCATTTTCGAAGACTTTATCGCAGTAGTTTTTTGAAGAACCTGGCCTCTAATTATCTTCATCTTGTAGCCTCTCTGTAAAGCGGAGGGTTTAAGGGCCTTTCAGAAGTTTTGGAAACTGTCCTTTTGCAAATGGCAACTTATCGGGTAAGTTAGGTTTTGCGCAATTGAGTTTGCTCAATTTGTCAGTTCTGATGATTGTGCCTTATTTACATTGTCAATTACTTCTAAATACAGTTGCTTTGTCGAGAAATATGGATTGTAGGTGTGTTATTCTTCAAATAAGGTCAATTAGAACGCGACTTCCATTTGAATTTATACCTGTTTAACGTCTTTAATTTTATTCATACCATGGAAGCTATGTACAAGTTATGTCAAATTGGTAACCCTTGTCCATTTTTCAAACAAAAATCAAGAGGAGGGGAGATTTTTCCAAATAGATTGGAAGTATTTATAACTATTTTAGAAAGGTTAATTTCACGCCCCTTTCTCGAAAATGGCAACAACAAACATCGGTGGAGAGCTTTACGGAAAAGCTTATCTAATGAAAACACGGTTGTATACATGTATGACGCACTCAAAAATTCGTAACCCAGTCTAACCTGGCCTAACCTAAAATCTAATATCTCAAAACAAAATAGGTATTTTTCACTGGTCGAAAATGTTTACTCATTTTTTGTTGAGGCTATGAAAGCATTGAGAGAGAGAGACTATTCTCGGACAGGTCAGGGAAAAACCTGCAAAAGATACGCTGATAAAATGGTGCGAGGAGTGGTAAACATTCCTGTAACATGTTTTTGTACTAGTGAAAGAGTAGTGCTCAATTCATTTATTTTAAAACATAACTTTCTCGGTTTACTTTTTCGGTTTAAGTAGTTCTGCAAAAATTGATTGTCAATTCTCAATATAGCACGGTCCGGATTTTTATATAACTCAACAGACTTAAAGTTCTCGTCAAAAGGTCGAATCCACAGGGTTGCCACAATTTTATGGACGTCACGTTGGTGTCATGGATTAGTAAAATATGCCATTGAGCTCAATTTTCATAGAAGGTCAAGGAAAAACTTTCTTAATTTGAAATTTCATAGATTGTCTATATACAAGAAATTTATAATTGTAATCTTTTCATAACTCTGGAATTTCAAAGCGAGCTATTTACTTTTTTTGGTGTCCTACAATTTAATGACATACAATTTAACACCGTACATTTTAAAACTTAGTCATTTCACTACTAAACAATTTAAATCGACAACAATATAACTCCTATTTTCCAGTTTAACACAGTACATTTTAACACCTAGTCATTTCACTATTAAAATTAATGCTCTATGAATTCCTTATCTTAACTCTTATCACACCAAAGTTAATCCTGCAATTAACACACGCACCATAATGAAAAACTTCTGGTTAGCCGATGGAACTTTCAAAATTACTCCAAAAATGTTCTATCAGCTTTATTCAATTCATGTTAGTGTATCTGGCATTGCGCCAGCTTGCATTTACGCCTTCCTCCCTAACAAAACCGAAAAAACCTATAATCGCTTCCTGCAGGCGTTAATTGATTTAGCACCCAACTGCCGGCCTGAAAAAATTTTGTTAGATTTTGAGCAAGCTGCTCTTCAGTCCTTCCAAAAAACATTCCCCGAAGCACATTTATCGGGTTGTTTTTTCATCTCTCCCAGAGTTACATGAGAAAAATTAATGAATTGGGTCTGAAAGTGACCTACGAAACAAATCACGAATTAGCGTTGGCTTTAAAAATGCTGCCATCCCTTGCATTTGAAAAAAAAAGAAAAGATCGGCGATTCCTATGACATGATTGTTCAAGAAATTCAAAATGTATGCGACAGAAATTGCTTAGAACCCGAGAAAATAGAGAAAATTGACGAGTTGTGTCTGTACTTCGGCTCTACTTATATAAAAAGCTTGGTGCCAAACCGTGAAGTTTCATTCCCACCATCCCTTTGGAACCAGCGAGATGCGGCCGTGATGGGGATTGCTCGAACAACAAATGCTGTCGAGGGATGGCATTTCGGGATTCAATCCTATTTCAGCGGAGCCCACCCAAATATGTGGAAAGTGGTGGGTAGCCTGCAAAAAGACGCTTCCGTACAAAAACTCAACTTTTTTGATGCATCGAGTGGCCATAAGTTCACAAAAAAGAAAAAGTATCGAGTATTAAATGAAAGAGTACAAAATATAATGTCCGTTTACGAAGACAAAACTGATCTGTACTTTTTCAGAGCGTTATCTAGTTTGTGCTAAGCCATTGTAAATTTTATTTCATTTATGTTTATTCTTTCGTATTATTGAAATTCAAATTTTAATCCTACTGAAATTTATGTCAGCTTTTTTTGAAAAGACGTTTCCTTGCAGACTCCCGGAAACGTAACTAAACGCAAGAACATGACTCGTGCCTTAGCAATTTATTCCCAGGACAATCGCCCTTATTTTCGGGATGCTAGGTTGGGACTAGGGGCTGGCAAACCCTTTAGCTTTGCGTTTATGTGCCAACAGTTCAAAAAAAGCTGACAAAGCGATCAGGTCATAAGTTTAAGTTCGAGAATGATTCTAAAAATAATGACTTTAAGGCTTTTGGCATTGGTTAAACCTTTTTAAAATTTCTATACCGGCTGAAAATGTCTAGAAAATCAGGCCATATTAGTCAAAGGACGTCTATTTATTTGCGGGCTTTTGAAGTTCATTGAACTATTGCTTGTTTTTGGTTCATTTTGGAATGATTCATTGAAAATATTGGCAAGGCCATTTCATTTTGGTTTGAAACGTTTCATTGAAGTCATTTGCAAGGTCATTTCTATTCAAAACTTACGCGAATTAAGTAGCGCAAATTTGTCTGGCTTTAAATGGCAAAAATTTCTCTCGTTTAATTCTTTGATGGTTACCGAAATCCCCTTTGAAGTAAGTTTTCTTTTCATTTGGATTAAAACGGTGTTAAGTCATAGAAATTGTTTTAAAATGTAGCGATGTTATATTGCTAAGGCAACAAAAAGTAGGGAGTGAAATTGTAGGGTGTTAAGTTGTTTAGAGTTAAAAAGGGGGGAACCACTTTTTTTAAAGCTCAATTGGTATCGAGTTTTTTCGAAACCGGAAATGGGTTGAATTACAAATTTAATGTTTTTCCTGCAAAGTCTGCTACAGCGATGTTTTTTGTTTGTTGCCCCAGTTTTGATTTTTTTTGTGCTAAATCTTTAAGAAAACTTCACGTAGATTAAGTAAAGTTGGCCCTTCTATCATTTCCCATCTGATTTTTTACTTTAACTTTTTGTTCACGTTGACAAATTGCCATTTATGTTTGCATGTGTTAATTACTCAATTAGAAAAGCTTTTTGTCTTCATACGAAATTTTACAAAATGAAAGTTTTTTCCGTAAAATGCATGCTTATATCTGGCTAGTAGAAGCAATAGATTAACCCTGCAATTTTTCATATGGACTAAGAGTGCAATTTTTTTTGAATGCTCTAAGTCCTTGACAAATTTTTCAAAAATTGGTGTCTACCTTGAACCAGAAGTATGATTACAAAGGATTACACACACAACCGCACACACGCACTCACTCACGCACAAATGCACACGCATGCGCACTTTCATAATGAGGATGTGGCCAATGGGGCGCTTAGTATTTGGGTTCTATCCTCACTTAAGCTCCTTAATTTAGTTCATTTATTTTCCCAGTCGAGTTTTGCTCCACGTGCTCATTTTATTTTCGATCGGGTTTAATTCAAAGATCGCACAATTAGCAAGAAAGAGAAAAGAGAGTCGAGGTCAAAATGTTAGTACACTCCAATCGAATTGTGTTTTTTATCCTTATTGACAAAAAATATATAAAATACGGGAGCTTCAAAGCAAGCTCGCCGGTGATCGATTGTTGTATATTATTGAGCCTCAGGTGCAAGTTTCTTAGAATATTTGGAGTGATTTCTTCACGACAGGGGAAACAAATCTGAACCATATTTGACGGTCTACCATCATAGTCCCACAGCTTAGCAAAAATGTAGCCCTGCCACACTGATTTTTGTACAATTTTTTTAACACTTTAATAAATTATTACACTTGCTCAGGGGCGGATCATGAATTTTATTGAGGGGCGGGGGGTGGTCTTTAAAAAAAATTTAAAATTTTGTCGACCTTTTTTTTAGAACGACCAAATTGATTTTCCGAGCTCTCCCAAAGCAGTAAAAATGCCCGGTTTTAGCCAAATTTTTTGCGCTGCAGGCAAAATTTTGCAAAAAAAAACAAGGTAAAAAAAGCGCACAATTTTGAAAAACTACCATACATTTTGAACAACTACGTTAAATTAAATTTGCCATAATGCAAGGAAGTTTGGCGTGGTGACTAAGAAAATAAATAATATTTAAATTTTTAAATTCCCAAGATATATACTTTCCTTTTTAACCTTTTTCAGCCACTCAAATTAGCGTGTCAATGTGGTTGAGGAAGTACTCCCGTGATTTCAAAAATTGCCCCACTTGATTGTGTGAGCTGTTTGAAGCTAAAAGGATCATAAATGGAGACCAATACATCGTGGCTCAGCTAGCAACAGATTTGGGCTCTTTTTCTTTCCCCCCCCCCCCCACCTGCAAAATTTTACTAATGAAGTTCTGTTCACTTTATCCGAATGTTACAAAAATTGGCATGCGAACTAATTAGGCCATGGCAAACATTTTTGGTCTTCATAATTAACCTTGTAAAACCCCTCGTTACACCATAAAATTGACGCTTATGTGAGGTGGGGGGAAAAGGAAAAAGAGCCCAGATTTGTTCTCTTTTCCAGTCCCCTCTTGGTTTTTGCAAAAATTATAACCAAATTGCAATTTAGGGAAGGAAACATAGAGGCATTTTGGAAGGATTCTTCAAAAGGCAGTTTTTGCTCTGTTAAGTTTTCATTTCAGATTTATCCTCTTTGACGTTCTGAAGTTTTGCTTTGTCTGAACAGACCTGAGTTTCGAAAACCTGATATAAAGTTTGTTTAGATTGCCTAAATCCGGATCAAGGGTGTTTCTCCATCTATCAGTTCGACTCTGCATAGAAGCAGTAGAATAAGAGGCTTTTACTATCATTAGTCAAATTGAAAATCACCATCGTACGAGCTTAGAACATCGCTGCTTCTCAGCTATTTGTTCACTTACAGGGCCCATTTAACACCACAAGATTAAAACCTCCAGTCGACCGATCAATACAACGTGATCTAGTTTCTTCATTTTAAGCGTTACAATAATACAATCAATACACTCATTGGAATTCATTTGGAGTTCTGTATTGTACCATTCTCTGTCAGCGCAACTGCAGTAGTCTAGTAGTGGTATAATACCACAAGACACTTGCCAAAAATAGTAATACATAGCTAAGAGGTTGTGAGTGTTGAAGTGCTGTCTAAACACCACTGCAGCTAGCCAAACCATCAAACGTTGGCTAAGAGAACTGCAAAACGAACGAAACGAAGTTAGAAATATTGGCTCGGAACGGATCGGGATTTCAACATAGTCTCGTTATTGCTTTTATTTCGTTATCTTCAATAAAGAACCGTGTGGATCTTCAAGTCTGTAAAGAAGCAGACTGATTCAAAATGATTCGGCAATTGAACCCACACTCCAGCGTCGACATTGCGCGACTGAGTGACGAAAACAAGCAAGACTATCTCTTCATATTCGCAGTGTTGCCTCTAATATGTATGGCCAGATACTGCTGCGAGAAGATCGGCCAAGTCATCTTTCTCTCGTCTGAGGCTGCCAACAAGATCCGCACCAAGCCCAAAGCATTCAAACTGGCTGTGAAGAAATTTGAGGAAGCCACCTGGAAATGTGCGTATTATGGATTCGTGGCCACATATGGAATAGTGTTTCTAAGTTGGGAGCCCTTCTTGACAGACCTGTTCCAGTACCCGAATCAAGTGACGCCCAAGATTACAGTGTACTACATCGTGCAGATCTCGTTTTATCTGTGGATGACAGTGTGTCTGCTGTGGGGAGATGTGCGAATGAAGGACTTCTACCAGATGACCACCCATCACATTGCCACACTGTGTCTGTTATTCCTGTCTTACTCGTTCCATCTAACCCATGGGGGGTGTCTGTTGATGCTGCTCATGGACATCGCAGACCCATTCCTGGAACTGGGCAAGATATTCAAATACTTGGAAATGGAGACTGCCAGCCTGATATCTTTTGTAATGTTCCTAACCTCCTTCATATTCCTCAGAATATTCCTGTACCCTGTCTATGCCCTCTACCCTTGTATAGTGCATACTTGGGATCTCGCGCTGTTCCTGGACAGGAGGGGAGTCTATTATGCCATAGATGGGTTCATGGTGGTGCTGTTCTGTCTCAACGTGTACTGGGCAGTGCTCATCATCAAAGTCCTCGTGAACAAACTCATCAGTGGCAAAATGAAGGATTGTCGCAGTGACGACGAAATGGACTAACAGGGCTTAATCATGAAAACATACCATACAATGTAAAATAATGCACAAAACACAATCCACGAGACAAGGGTTATTAACTGAAAAGAAATCATTTACGGCAGACGGAATTCGAATGGGATTCAAGGTGAAGCACAACAAACATTGACAACAACAACAGCCCAACTTCTCGGTTTAATTTCGGGGTATTAACAAATGCAATGCAAGAAATGTGGAAATGAAATGATGAAAAAAACTTGACCTTGTGGGTGCTGTAAATAAACTAATATTACAAACACATTGCGAGTCTTGATTTCGATTGATGAGATATGTGTTCTAACAATGAGCCATGACGCGCTACCCAACGTATACTATTATTAGTGAGCCAGAATGTACCAAAAAACCATTTAATGACAGGGAACCTAATTGTACTATACCCAAATTTGTTTTATTATTTTACAATACCAAGCAAAATTCAATTTCATTTCACATTTAGTTTTTCGTACTTGTTCACTAACATTTCAAACCACGCGCGCGCAAATCGGTTTTTGCAGTGTGGGCTGTTTTCAGAAAAATGTTAGTTTTTTCTTTTAGATGGGACAAAACGAAATTTTGCCGTTATTTTTGGCCAATCTAAATTTCTACGCGCTCTTTTGGATGGTTTGGACTACTACAATGCATTGTACGCACGCTCTTGCCTTGAACTGCAAAAAAAAACTGGAGTCTGGGTTGAATGAGGAAAATTGTAATAGTTTCTGTTAGTCTAGAACTTGGTAAATTAGGTCAACGAGACATCCCAGCCTATTTTCAGAAATTCAATGACTGGAAAGGAAGCCAGTACTATTTTGATCACAATGGTTTGCATTTTAGTTTTTGCGGAAGAAAAAATCTGTCGATTTGATTTTTTCAGCACTGCAGGAAACCTATATTGACCCTATTTTTATTCGCAAAGCTAATTTTTGAGAAAAATCGTCTAGTTAATTATCTTTTCGAAGGTTTGATCAAATAATTGAATTTTTTGCTTCGGGTGATTTTTTAGAAAATGCTCTGGTTGGTCATCTTTTGAAGATTTGGCAAGATCATTGTATTTTTTCTTGGGGCGATTGTATCTGAAATTGCTTGATAGAAAATTTCACAGTGCTTCTGCAGCCTTCATTAACAATTTCAATCTCAAGTAAATATCCTTGTTATATCTTGCACTGGAGAAATGGGAAAACTAGCTACCCAATTTCTAAAAACAGCTGGCTTCCTTGATTGCAAAAATTAACCAAACTTTTTTGTGCGACAATTCAATATTTCATGATTTATTCGTTCTTGTTTATGATCCGCTTTGCTCCGATCAATTTATATGTGAGATGTTTTGCGTTTGTAAAGCTAAGCTGACGGAAATATCACTAAGATCTGGTGTCAACCGCCAGCTTTTTGTTCCAACCATTGAAAATGGGGAGGAACTTTGCATTCGATGTGTTTTAGTTTTTTTCCTCACAAAATTGGGTACCACAAATAATCATCGGACTGGGTTGAGTGCTATATCATATTAAAGCTCTTTCAGTCGTGATTCGAATCACATAAATAAAGTTCAAAAAATTTCTCCAATATTGAGAAAAACAGGTTTGAAGTTTTAGAGTTTTCGTCTTATTTCGAGCGAATAAAGCCAGCAAGCAGTCTTCTTTTAATTGCTTAAAAGCTTATATTCACTTAAATTAAAAAAGGTGAGAACTTATTCTTACTTGAGTAACGTCAGTTTCCTTTGAATATTTCAGCGCCTTTTCGAATCTAATTTTTCAAAGTTCAAAAAACTGCAAGACTTGAAAAAATTTTGGACATTTTTTTATACTATTCTTGTGTTCTTCAAGTAGTTTTTCTATAAAATATGTTTTTCTATTTGCCTATTTTGCTATGAGTGTCGAATATGCCTAACCGGCAGTTTTTTTCAGCTCCTTTTATTGAATCACATCGAAAAAAAACTACATTAAAACTTTCTTGTTTTTCTCTCAAGACTATGGTCGGAACATTCATTGCTATTTGCACAGTAACCGGCTATCCTTGTTTCTAATGCGGCAAGTTTTCTCAGAAAAACTTCACAGAATTTTATTTCAGGCAATACTTTATTCGTTAGAGCTTATGAAATTGTTTGTGTGGTTTATTTAAAAAGGAAAGGGTCACGACAAGAAATTTTTCAAACAGTGCAAGGCACTCTAATGGGTCGAAAAAACCTTCAAAACTCAAAAGTATAAACATTTGAGAGTCATTGACTTATAAAATAATTGAGGTTACCATTTTAAAAGCTAATATTTTTCAAAATATTTCCGATATTCGGTTTTAATTAAAAAGTTGAATAAACTGATATATCCTTGATTTAGAAAAAAAAAGATTTTCAATTTCTAGATGGTTTTGATGTATCTATTAGGCAGATTGTTAATCAGGTTACCCATACATAACCCAATCTCTTAACCAAATTTTGAAAATCTATCTTTCGGCGTGCGGGAGTTTCGATGGAATTTAAATGCAATTGTTAGTTAGCTTGTTAATCAAGTGACGCATTAATCAGAGCTGGATCTAAACGGCATATCTACAACTCAATTAGCATGTTCTGACTTGCTAGTGGCACACAGCGTTTTTTTTTTTCAGAATGTTTGTTAAGTTTTCAGGGTACCTTTAAGATGAAAGAAAAACAAATTTTTTAAATGCCTTCAAAGCTCTTTGATGTTGTCTCATAAATGCAACTATTGTTTTTAAATTATTGAAAAATAATCGAGTATAATTGTTACTGAGGTTGTCAAATAGAACTGACAGACGCAAAAAATTCTTCCGCCCATGGTTCTTCCACAACTCTAAAATCCACAACTCTAAAGTCGTTTTTTTTTAGTCTGAGAAACGTATTGCACGTTGCATTTTTCAAGTTATAAAAATTTGAAAATTTTGAAAGTTTTCTGTAACAGTTCATTTAGCTAGAAACGTTAAGCAAAAAATGATGACATTTTCTGCGAGCTATTCAAGTGATGACGTTGATTTGAAGTTTGAAGTTATCTATATCGTAGATCGGATCTAAAAAAGTCAAGTTTTTCTAAGAATTTTGCATAAGAGTCTGTTTAAGAGTGGGGATAGGTCATTTTCTGCTAGAGAGAACATTTTTCTTTTTCCTCCGGAAAAACTCTCACAAAACTTTTCAAAAATTTTTTCTCGAAAAAATGGAATTTTTTTTCAAATTTTCGAGAGCTTCCTGAAATTTCCATTCCTTCAAACTTAGGTTTTTTCCATTGTTGTACATGTAGCTGCCGACGGGTACGAGCAAGCCGGATGATATATAATTTTTGTCTGTAAAAGGTATAGCTGCCATTTTTATTTTCTCTCAGAGCAAAAATCTGATTAAAATAAGTGAGGCGTATCTGCTCAATTGGTGAACATAGGTTGACATAAATGCTTAAGTCTCATATTAAAGTTGCACTGATTTTGAGCAAACTTTACCGGGAGCATGGCCGCAGCGTGGACAGTTTGTTCTTCAAAACTTTTTTCTACAAATATCTTTTTTGAGTACAGATTTTGATGCTCGCTGCCAGTATTTCAAGTTAGTTTATTTTATTTTATGTCTTACATTCATCCACACTTTTCTTATATGTCAATTCAGTCAAAGAATAGTTCAATGCTGGAAGTTCTGTAGCGTTTTGATAACAGGTGATGCTTGAAGTTGGATTGACTAAAACAGCGCCAACAGGGCGATGGATTTGATTTTCAAGTTTAGTCGTCTAACTTTTGAAAGATCTGATTTGCATGTTACGTATTTTGTATACTATAAGCTTTTGTGTCAGTGTAAATGGCAAACGAGCACATTTAAAGTTTATACGAGTTTTGAAAGCTAAAGGATGAAACTATATTTGAAGGATGAAATTAAATTATAATCTGCTGTCATTATATTTGATACCGTGTCATAATTTGCAAAAAATTTCAAAGGCTTTTTTGATTGTGTAATCGTTTGCTAATTCTTGTTTTTTTTTTTGTTTTATTAGAGCTCATTTCGCATTGATGGGTCATGAGGCAGTGAAGTAAGTTGTCAGACAATGATGAAATTCAAAACCTCATCGGTGATGAGTAGAAGGTTGATGTTTTTCACGTTCTCTTTTTCGAAGAATAGCGGAAACATTTGTGTTTTTTTCTTGACCAAAAACTTTTAATGCACGATTTTATTTTCTCAAAAATGGCATCAGAAGTTTACCGCCATCCTAACTCAGCTGCTTCAATTTTTTTATTGGCTAAGTTTTTATTTGTTCTGGGTAGAAAAAGAATTTAGCGCTAATAAGACATAAAGAGCAGAACACCTCTGATCTATAGTTTCCTTAATTAAACAAAAAGTGTTTTTATTGAAGAATGCAGTCATTGGAAGGCGAGAGAGACCTTAGACCGATCTGATTTTGTTCAGGTGATCTATTTCTTCAGCAACGAATCGCTACAAAATTGCAATGTGCTAACCATTTGATATACTTATCCCAAATAGTCGTCACTCACAAAACATTTCTAATTGCTGCTTGCACGGCCTGAAACTCTCGTTTCATCCGTGAGGCATAATTTGAAAATTGAGTTGTAATTGCGCACTGTTCGGTAGTTCTGTTTCTAAAAAAAACCGACTTAAGTTTATTGCTAGATGATTTCACTATAGCCGTCAGATCTAACTGTTGGCAAACATCTTGTCGATTTGCCTGCAATTTTTTGCAGGCTGTTCTGTAACAAAAACTGTTTGATTTTCTTTTTTTTTCTATTCAGTTCGAAGGAGATTGCGGTTAGAGAAAAAAAACTTTAAATCGTGAAAAATCCAATTGGAGTGTGAAACAATTTGAAGAATATTACTTGAAAGAAAAGGAAAGTTTTTTGTGATATAAATCATAAGCAACCAAATGATAGCCTAACGCTATTTTTTCTATTTTGTAACAGATAACATTTTTCCTTCTTTGCCGACTGAGTTATATACACTAGTAGACAAAATAGACAGAAATGCACAAAAGCAGTATTTTAATTTCTAAAATGCCTGTTTTGAAAAATTGATTTTGCGCCTTATTTTGTCCACTAGTGTAACAAAACACTAGAAATCAATAACTGATTGATATTTATGGAAAGATGTCTAGAAGTGCATATAGGGCTGGGTTCCTTCTATCCGTTGCCCACTTTCTGATTTCCGAGAGTTTTGGTTAATCTGATTGAGTAAAAAGTTGGGACTAGTTTTCATTAACTTTTGGTGTCTGCAAAACACTTGCGATTTTTTTTTCATCACAGAGAGCTATATATCTTTTCAAGGCAAAATTTTATAATATAAAGCACAATAGACAAAACTTCAAAATTAGTTAACTTCTTCAGAACTTTTACCAGCTGTTTTCTCTATTCCGTTTAAAAAAATGAATTGGAGGAAAACTCAACTCAGAACAATCAGGTCGACTTTTACAGTTAAGTTTACAATGACAGTAAAAAAACAATGATGTATCTAGATTCAACAATTTTCAGG